ATAATGACATTTACAATTATCCACTTAATTTTATTATTCAATATTAAATAGTCCAAACAGAACATGAAACATTTGTACAGTAATATTTTTAAAGTAATATTTTTTTTCTGCTCTTAAAATTTTTCACACATTGTCACGATTGTCACAGCTAGGCTTTTCTCAACTAGTTAATGGGAACATAATGATTAATGTTTTACAAGCTGGAGTTGATTTAATCAACACAGATAATTTTTTTAACTGGCATCATGATTGCTGAATATTCATATTAATAACCATTTCTTTTCACATTAACATGTGTTTATTACTTTCAAAGAATTACCTGTGTGTTCCTTACCCATCTTCACAGTGACTTTGACTAATTTTGAAGTATAGTAGGAAACAGGGTTAGTTTACACTTTACTTTTTACAGTTTATGTCACTTCCCCTTTAACAGGATCTGTGGCAAAAGCCAGCTTTTTTTTTGTGCAAAGTTTCCAAAACAGTTTTAAGTGAAGTCCAGATGTGTAAGTGACAAAGCTGTATCTTGGCAGTGCTTGATGGTTAGGAGACTTACGTGGCAAATAAAGACAGTTTTGGGAAAACAGACAAATGTTCTTTTTCTCAGATTCAGAAGTTAACTTCAGGCTGAATTTTCCTGTGCTTGTTCTTGAAGACTCTTAAACTGAACCTTTGACTCTCATTTATAGCAGTGATAGCTAGTAATTTATTTTCCCTTGGAAACAGAGGAGATAGTCTTTAAATTTAATCTGAAAGTGAAATTGTCCAACTACTCTGCCTCTCTGCTTGAGGATCTCCCTTCTTAAGTAATCCCCTACCCTGCACTTTTTTTTGCTGTCATTTTAGCCTGTGTTTAGGACAATTATTTAGTATTTCCAAACATTTCTCTCTTTTGCTTGATTCCATAGAAAAAACGTTTTCTCATGAGGACATTTTTGATCCCTGATTCCTTTTTTTTTTTTTTTTTTTTTTTTCATAGTTACAGAAACTGTGGGTGGGCCTCAAAGCCTATTGCCCACAACTGGACATTGGCATCAGCTGCATAGACAAGTGAGGATGAGGGAAACACAGGCCTGGTAACCTCAGGTGGCACTGTTAAGGAGAGGCAGGAGCAGAGGCATTTGGATTGTCTGTAAAAGCACAGACACCACAGCACCATAAGTGCTGTTTACCCAAGATAACAGAAGATGGGTTTCCACCCACTCCTTTCGTTAATTGCAGATGTCTCTTTCTCCCTTGAAAACTGGGGCTGCTACTTGTAAGATGCTGTTTTCAGATGTCCCGAGAGAAATAATCTTCCTTTTTACTGTACAAATTTCTCTTTTCCATGTTATATCACATTACTTCTGCATACAATTTTCTTTGCATCTTAAAGCAGTTCAAATAGTCCATTTTTCTCTTTCACAAAATAACCCCTCCAGTTTTTTCTTATTGCTATTATTTCTTAGTTGTTGTTCTTTTCTTTTTGTCTATTATTTCTTAGCAGCACAGTTCACAGGCAGGGTAATACAATTAATTCCAATTTTAAGTAGTATTTCAGGTTTTCTGATTGTATTTCTAATGTTTCTTTTCAATTTATCACACTTAATTTAAAGAAAACAAACAAACAAATTAAGTCCTGCCCAATACAACTGGAGCAATAATTCTTTTTTGTTATTTTTCCTTGTTCTTTTTACAAGTTTCTCTGTCCCGTGGAATGCTGGGGTATGAGTATTTTAACACGTGTTGCTTTGTCTTATAAATTGACATATCTATTCTTTCCTAAAATTTCTAGTTTCATTACTGAACTGTCAGCTCCTAAACTCTGTGGCTATTTCACTTTAATATGTAAGATCTTACGTATATTCAGATCATTTTATACTGTTATAATCTGCTTAAGTTTGCTGTGTTGAAAGTCCATTTTTCTAACTTCTGTTGTAGACCTCATTATTATCAATTGACAAATGTCTCATCAGTGACACCCTGGAGAGATTTTGTTGCTCTGTCCAGCTTCTCAGTGGGAAATTGTACTGTAGATAGACACAGTTTTTTCTTGTAAGCACACAGAAAAGTTTGGTGGCACAAGTTGCCATAAAGGACATTCCAGCCAGATATTGGGAAAATACCTGATGTGGCTGATTCACCACTGAAACTGGTTGTCCAAAGCATTTTTGAAATCTCCATGCCTTCAGAGCTTGAGCAGAAATGCCTCTGAGTAATTTTATGTAACTTTGAAGTTATAGCTGTCTTTGAGGTTAGTCCTGCTTTGATCAAGAGCTTTTATCAGTTGGGGGTCCCTTCTAAGCAAAATTATCCCTTGGTTCTATGGTAGATCTGCAGTGGGTCAGCTCAGGACTCTTGAGGACATCTCTACAAAGAGTGGATCCATGAGGTGATAAGGTCACTGGTGACACAGACTGCATCCTTTTGTGATTCTGTAGCATCTTCGGAATCACTTTAACTTTGCTTGAGCAGCTTTTCCAGATCACCTGGTCTGTTGTTGTGCTCTGCACTTCTAGAATATGAGCTATACCTACAGGGCACGTTACATCTGTTGGCTGTCACCTATGCAGCGAGCTATTGCAAGGTCAGAGCAGCTTAAAGGCTCCCACGGGACTCCTTCCCTCCTGCAAGTATAAGAGGAATTTCAAATACTTGCCATCTGGTCACTGCTCTGAGAAAACGTGGAACCACTGGAAATCATAGAATTTGAAGCTGTTTTGAGCTAATGTTGTTCTACCAGAGCCTGGCCCCCTGCTGTGAAGTGTTACAAATTTATTTTTGTATATTTGAAAACACATTTTCAAATACGTTTGTACTTCCACTTTGGAAAGTTCGATTTGGAGTCGTGCTCATCCAAACATGGAGGGAACAGTGCAAGTGATAGAAACACGCCATGGCTCTTTGCAAGAAGTGGCAATGATGCTGTCAGACTCACATGAGCATTTTGTCACTGGGGCTCAGGAGGGGCTGTGTGTTTGTGTGCATGACTGAGGAGCAGACACCCCAGGAGAGTAACAGTGTGTGTGTTGGGAACTGGGGGGGTGAGTGTCTATGAATAAACTTCTTCGGTCTATAGGTACCTCTGAAGTAGAACAAGTTATGTGCTGGAACTGTCTCCCATGCATGTGGTTATTTCTGTGTAAGAGATGCGTTCCCAGAGTATTTCATCCACCCACTTGCTTTCTCTGATAAAATTTTTTAACACTGCGTTTTCCATTCGGTGCACTGTGTAAAATACTGAGTAAATAAGGTTGCTAAGAGCCTTGTTCTATGCTAATTTGAATTGAATTAAGGCTTTAGAGAACTGAGGAGGCTTGTCTTAAAACTCCATTTACTAAAATTATCCTTACAGGCTTGAATGTAATTGTACTTAGGTCAACAAAATATGAAGAAAAACATGAAAGTGGTTTTATGACGGAACAGTACTTTCTAAATTTATATTTGATTTGAATACCACTGCATTTTTGTAATTTATACATTTTAATTAGGTCCAATCAAATATTGGAACAAATAAAAATAATATATGGTATATATATAATATAATAATATAATAATAATGGCCAGTCTTCGCGAGCGAAGATCCGGGGAAGGTCTTTACACCTTCCAGCCTGCGCATTGGATTTTTTTTAGGTGAGACACAGTGTGCGCGGAACTGAGCCCACCCTTTAATCCTAAGGTTCATCTGCCGGGGCCAAGCGAGCTTGGACAGTGGCAGTGAGGTCCTTAGGACGTAGGTGGGTTGCCTTTAAGGGCTAACGAGCCCCACCTGCCCGGGAGTGGCCCTGACCGGGAATCGAACCCGGGTCTCCGCGGTGATAGCGCGGCGCCTTTACCACTAGACCACCAGGGGCTCTGGTATATATATATAAAAAAAAAAAAAAAAAAAAAAACCATATTATGTAGCATATTGCAAATTTTTTATATGCTCGTTCATAAATCATGAAGATGATCTTTTCTCAAAGTAGTCAGCCTAAAGCTGACTCAATTTCAATAAACTTTTTAACTAAGTGCTTGTTTCACAATTTTTTTCATACACATAGAAAAGGTTATTTAATGAAAGTTATGTTAAAATAATGATGTATCCCTAATTACAGAAATCTTTATCTTACATGATACAAAACTGTAGATTGTTTCTACTGAGAGATATAGCACAGAAAGAAAGAAAATGCCCATTTAGTCACAGCTCTGCACAGTTGCTGATGAGGTTTTCATTTCACTCCAGTGCTTTGACCACTCTGTATGGTTAAATTGAGAAGTGGCACAGGAGGCTTCTTGTAATCAGAGAATTTAGGAAAAATCTGGTATTCAAGGAGTTTTTCTGTATAAGTCTATTGCTACGGGGTCATGAGTTGATGCATTACAAAATACCATTTGGGTGTATCTGTGTTTGTACTGTAAAACAAAGTTCTCAAAACTAAAAGTAATAGCACACTTGGGAAAATCTGAATTTTTCTAATGACATAGGCACTGCCTTTCCTCTGGTATAACGATGAGTTTTTTGTAAACACAGAAACAATAGAACTCCACATTAGCTCATGCTAATTGGAATACAAATTCTGCAGGAAAAAAGATACTGGAGGCCTAAAAAAATTAAAGACATATAAATGAAGTGAAATCAGTATACAGTGAATATGGAAAAAATATAATTAACCACTTTAGCATGGAAAAATTATAGTAAGACAATATGTGAAGTTTTATTTTTTGTTTAAAAAAAAAGAGATTCAGGTACAGTAGTAACATCAAAAATGAATAGTAAATTGCTCTGATGGCGGTATTTAGTCCTCTCTGACTTTCTGGAATGTGTATGCCTTTTCTTAATAGCTCTTACAAATTTAGCAAGTTACAAAAGCATACAACCAGTCATTGTTGTGTCCATTCTAAAGCTAGATTTTCTTAAGGGATGGAGTGATGGTCTCTTGCCTCTGCATTGGCTGTGGTGTTGGTTCCAATATTTCAAATGGAAAATGGAGTCAATCAAATTTGATAAAAGTATCTCACTGATTTTATTTTTCTTTTCACAGATTAAGATGCTTGGTAAAGCAGTTGGAGAAGGGTGACATTAATGTGGTGGACTTAAAAAAGAATATTGAATATGCAGCATCTGTCCTGGAGGCCGTTTATATTGATGAAACCAGGTAAGTCAAAGGGAAAAGATGTTGTCAACTGCATTATAGAAATTTGGTTTTTGCATGCAGTTGTAACCTACATGAGCTGAAGGTCTGTGCACATTAGAAGAAGCTCATGTTGCTCTTTGATCTTTTAGTGACAAGGTTAAATCAAGTAAGTTTCAAAGGTCAGATGTAATTGTTGTCTGGAGAGAAATGCTCAAAGAAATGAATCAGGATGCTATAATCTGGTCAGCAAATACATAAATTAATGAAAACTGTGATTTATTTTGTATTGTTTGATGCTTTGTTTATGGTTATTTTTACTGTCAGTATTACTGGCAATCATCTATACCGTGGGTTGACTCCAATTAAATTAGAAATCCCAAGTATTTGGCTTCTTGGAAGATTTTTAATATATGTACTATATTGAAGTTAAATAGCTAACTTACAGCTTTTCTTTCTGCATGCTGACCTCTTTAAGTTTTTTTTTCTAAGCAGAAAGGTCTTATAAAGATGTCTGCCAAAACTTCAATACTGCTGGACTGTGCAGTGTATTGTCTCAGTTCTATACTACATTTAAGACTAATTTCATGGACCTAACACTGTCTCTCTTTGTTGTGTCCCCAGCACCCCCTCCTCTTTCAAATCTACGTAGTTGATATGGTGCTTGGAGTATTGCTTCGATGTTTTTCTGATTCTTGTGATTTACACATCTGCTATTGTGGCACTAGAAAGCCTACCCATTTGAAAACAGAAGAATGGAAACAATAGCAAATGAAGCTGGTACTAGTGATCCATTTTCAATGATCATATGACAGACTAGGTTGGCACGATTATTTATACTGGTGTCCTGCTCTTAGAGTGCATGCGTGTCCTATTCTGTAAAAAGCTGACTTAACAGGGTAAGGTAACAGGGAAAACTTTTCTGATCATGCTCCCAGCTTCAATATTGTTCTAGGGGACACTTTCAACTTGATCCCAAGTTAAATATACAACTTGAAAAGGAATAGGGACCTAAGTGACTTCCAGAAGCCTCACATGTGTTATGAAGATGAATTGAATTAATTTAAGGTAAATATTTTAAAATATTGGTAATTAAAATGCCACCATCAGTATACTTATGTCAGTTTTGCTGACTAAGTTAAGTTAATCCAGTTTCTTTTATATAAAATCAAGGGTTAATTTGTGGATTTACATTAGTTTGCTGTCATATTTGTAGTTCAATTGGTACAGGTCCTTAGGGTGCCAGATTTTTTCTTATCTATATCTATCTATCTATCTATCTATCTAACTATCTAATGTATATTGAAATTATCGACAAACTTCTATTTTGGTTTACAATACCATAATAGAGGCCATAAAGGAACAAAAGCAGCGTATCATTGAGTCAAATGCCAGTGGAGGCTGAATTAGCTTGTGTGGTTGCATTTGTCCTTGTTCCCACCAAAGAATACAAGTTCTTTGTCCTGCACAGAGCTGTGGTAGTCTGGAACTGAGTTAACTGAACTCACTAGTAGATTAGAAATAATAGTTTAGATCATAAGAAAAACAGCCTATTCCTGCTCAATCTGAACATGCACTTTTATACATCACAAAGTTCAAATTACTTCAGTAGGTTTCTTTCATATGATTTGCTGTTCAGTCAGTGTCTGCAACTCACATGAAAATACCCATGCTTTCTATTTTAAGCCCATTCTTGAACCCTGGATTTTGTCCTGATGAATTTACTGACCCACTGCTTAGGTATCCAAGCAGAGGAAGATCACAGCTTCGACCAGCGATCTAAAAATGAATCCTATCTGTGGTAGTCTCTTCTTTCCCACCTTTCTGGGAAACAGACTTAAGAGAGCTGAGGGAAAGCTCTCTTAAATACCTCTACAGACAGAATAGGAATAGCAACAAACTGAGAGTTCATTATAAGCATCCTTCTAACTCATCTTTCTGTTATGACGCATATCCTGTTACATAGGATAATAAAATGCTTCCGCCAACGGTTGCTCACCTATTGCAAAAGGACCTTCTACAATTCTTCACAACAGAGATGAATAAAGCAAAAATACAGGTCAAAACTAAGGTCAATAAAGAGACCTAAGTATCACATATCTCACAGAGGATGTTCAGTAATGTAGCCAAGGATCAAGGAAGAGCCCAGTCTGTTCCCCAGTTCTGGGAAACCATTTGTGCTACTTAAAAATGAAATCTAGTTTTGGAAAAAAACACTTTTCTCTTTATAAACCTGAGTCTTTTCCATTGAGCAGTTCTAATTTCTTGCAGTAGAAGATACCCATTTTCCCCCCTGTATACTGTTACTTCGAATTTCTTGAAAAGCCTGTATCATACTATTAAGTTGTGTATGCACATAGAAGTACATGCAAAAGTGGAAGGTTATGGGCTATTGAATTTTTATTTATAGTGTAACAATCAGCTGGAAATAGCTGTAGAATTCACCCCTTTAGCAGAGGATGAAATATTTTTTTCAGGTCCTCTGACCCCTTTCTCTGCTGCCATGTTTTCCTATGCTATAGTCATTTATCTGAGCATTTTTTATAACTGTGTACACATACTTGTTTCCATACTTGAGCTTTCTAAAACTGTGTGCAGCTGGATTGGGGAAAAGGCAGAGAAACAACACAACAGATTATTCTATTTATGAAGTTCTGAGAGTAGTGTTCTTAGAAAAAGGGATAGGCAGTAGGGATAACCTTCCAAAATGAGGAAAAATTGGTTTGGACCAATGACTGTCAATATCCCATATAAAAACTGATGGAAAGCTAGAAAGCACACGCATCAGGCACCTCATAAGTCCTGCTTTCCCATGAACTTCATTATCTATGGCCCCATGTCACTTAATAAGCTTGTTTAACAGGTCCTTTTTAGGACTGCTGCATCTCTCAATACTGAATAATTGTAGGCTGCACTAAACTCTTCCATGAAAGAGTTCTAACACTTTGGTAGCTGAAGCAGAGGTTTATTGTCAGCTGAAAACAACCAGTGAAACTCTCACAGTTCCAGCCCCTCAGCAGATCTGCTCTGTGGAAGAAGTTCAAAAGTACTCAATAGGTGTTATAAATAATTCTGACAAATCTTGAAGAATTTTCTCCGTTAGTACCTTCCACTTGGCTCAAGGCAATGGAAGAAGGATATTTAGATTCAAACAGGAAATAAATACAGCTTGATAATTCAGTCATGACAGCTGTTCCGTTCCTTGTAAACACAGCTCTTCATTCATACTAAGTAAGAAGAAAATAAATCTAATAAAACCTAAATGCAAATTACAAGATTTTAAAAAGGTATGTATTCTGAAGATAAATAAAAAACCCAGTAACTTCTTGTGGAGAATACTTTTTGGTTGTTACGAGAAAAATCAGAATATTTTATTCCAATTATGTCTTATTTTTCAATACTTTAATGTTTTAGAAGATACACTTGATTTCAGGAGGAATTTTATCTGTGCAGTTTAAGTTCCATATGGGGCTCTTAGTTTGTTGCAGGCTGTATAATGCTCTTTTAAAAAAACTTTAACCCCTTGGGAACTTTTGACGTAGGAGAGACTGTTTCAATAATGTATGAAGTAGCTCTGTTGTATGTAGCTGGCAATTGCTTTGAGCATCTGTGATTCAGCAAGACAAAATAACAAATACAGGTTCATGAAATGAAAGGAAGTGTCATTAAGGTTAAGTGGCATTATAACAATATATGTTTGCATGAGAGCTCTGAAAATAGTGCAGGTATTTCGATGATATTATCATGGCAAACACAGTTCTTCTGATAAAAAGTTCTTTAGGAAAAAAAAAGTAAACACTGTGGTATGTATAATGCTAACTAAAAAGGAGGTCACTAAATCCAGACTTGGCTGTTGTAATGAACACCTTGGACTATACTGAATTTCCAGTGTACTACTCCAGTAATGTTCAAAATATTTCTACAGTTTTGGGAGTTAAATAGAGACAAACATCCTCAAACATCCAAAAAGGAAATAGTTTAAATTGCAAGACAAAGGGCTTTGTCACTTCATGTCACCAAATGGCTGTGTGAGCTTTCAAGTGCACCACAGAAATATTTGTGACAAGATCATGCACATGTGTGTCTTTGTTGTGTGGAGTCCAAGGAAGAAGAAAGGAGCAAATACTTGACTGGATACTGGCGCTGACAGAGCTCTGTGTTGTGGAGGTGTGAATGGAGCTTAGCAAAAGGCCAACAGCTTAATGAAATTCTACTGTTTCCAGGAGCTGTTGAGGTGAGGAACAGTCAGTATAGCCTGCTACTGGGCAGCTCTCAGTTTTGGTTACGTCTGTAAGCTGGAGAAGGCTGTTCCCCAGTATTTTCAAGTTTTTCAATACTGGAACAGAACCTGAGTCCATGGCAGCTACTCCATTTTAGGCTAGGAATTGATATCTCAAAAAATAATAAACTAGGATACTTATTTGATAACCCTGTGCTTTCTTTCACTCTCTTCTAGGCATACGTTTACTTTTGGCATAGTATATGTTTAGCATGTAAATGAGAGCAAAAGTCAGTAAAGGCTCTGCCTTTCATGTTTCTTTTAATTTTCATAAGCTGTATCTTATCATCAGTGTTGCAGGGCTCTAAGCTAGCACTACAGAAATTGCTGCTGAGCATCTCACAGCAGGAATCTGTTACTTGACTTTGCAGGGCCATTTACGTTCTGTTCTCACCTGCAGCATAGCAGAGGTAGCGGGTTTTGTGAGGCACAAAGTTTCACTGACTGTAAGGCTCTGGTTATGGAAGAAATTGTGCCAATGCAAACACTGTCATCTATTGAGATTAACCAGCAGAGGTTGTCACACCAGCAAATCTCTTAGACGGTGCAAGGATTGAGAAAGTTAAATTCTCTTACATCAAAGAGATGTAGATATTTTTTAAAACTTTTAAAAGATACATTTTTAGTCTTTCTACCTGAACAGTGGGGCATTCAGTTAATGACGCAATTTTTTTTTGAAGGATCTAGAAAACATTTCTCCTCGAAATTACCATTTTTGGCACATCTGTGAATATTTTATAAAAAT